GCACTCTAGAGGTGCTATAATCATAAATGTTCTTACCTCAGCCCCAACCATAGTGGGGCTGAGGTGGTATAGATCCTCCATCTGTGAAATAGACCCCCTCTATTTCAAATTTATGGATTCGTCACTGATATTACATCATTAATTATTTCGTCGTTAAAACATAATGACAAAAATAATTAAAAAACGAGCACATCTAAAACCCACGATTGGCGACCGAAACTCAAAAAGGCCCCCTAGTCTCTGAAAGTCATAGGTCTCCTCCGGCTCCAGCGTTACGCCGTTGTAAAAGAGCGAGTCTGAGAGGGGCTGGGGAAGGATTGGTGATGAGGTTTTGTCCCCTTGGCTAGACCAATTCGAGGGAGATCACTAATTAGAGGTGGGCACTGTACTAAAAATTCAAGAATAAAACTGTTATTGGAATTTTCTTTTAGATACCTGGTTGGTTGTGCACCTGTTTGATAACATCCAAATTACGGCGAAATCACGCTTGTATGTGAACTACTTGTAGACACGTCGTCTCCAAAAAATTTCGAATATATTGAATTCCAGAATGGTGTTCCTTATAGTTTGGAAAATGTACAAAGGTAAGAAATTGTGTGCACTATGCCGTACTGTAGCTGTACAATGTATGAATATAGGCGCTATGGTGTTGATTTAATGTAGCATCCATTGTTGGTTGTTGTGGAAGTCTACATGGTTTTTCAGACAAGAGACCGTGCTCTAAAATCAGTTTGTAAAGAGTCCTTTTTGTATTTTAAAGCTTCTTTCTTAGCTAAGTAACATACCGTATAGTTTTGGTCGCAGGTACATTTTTGTGCAACCCACACTCAACAATGTAACTCTAAGTATTCTTAAAAATAGGTGAAATCCTTTAAGATAATTTAATAAAGTGTAATATTATTTTATAGTCAGTAGCGGCGCTATGGGGGCGGGGGGCACGGGGAATTTTCCCTCAGAAACTCTTCTTGTTTCTCACCCCCCCCCCCCCCCCCCCCCCCCCCGAGAAAGAAAAACCACAATTCGGCTCACATATAGGAACATAAGATAATCGTACTAAATGGACCAACAGCAATATGAGAGTCAGCTAAAACCCCTGACGCGGTGAAGGCAAGATTTGGTATTGTAGACTGGGCGTTGAAGGGGTTCTGATAAAGTATTGGTTAAATGTAAAGATTTAATATTCCCATTTAATCTTTATTTAAAAAAATAAAGTAACAAATTTTATATTCAGGACCTTTCCGACGCATTATTAAACTTAACGTTTAATTTACATGTACACTGTATATATATTTCTCACATGTTAAATCTCTTTCATTTCAGTGTCTCGGGTCAAATCTACCGATCCATCAAGAAGAAGCGCGAGGATGTACGATCAACGATTGTCGCCGAAACACAATGTAGGGCCTACTACCAATAGCCGGATTTAATTGGTCTTCTGTAAAGATTCACGTGCCAATATTTATTAGATTTTATACCACTGGATCATCAGCCTAATAATTTCATAATTATTTTTTCGGAATTTAATTTTTAGCAAATTATGTTTTCTTGTACAACGAATAAGTATACATCGAACCCATAGTACATGGCTAAATATGATTATGTCTAAGCTTTATATATACATATTCTTTAGATTTTATCTCTATTATACGATGAAACTACAATATTTGTGTTTGATTTATATTATGTTAATATAGGCCTAGTTCTAATGTAACATTTCCGAGTATGTGAAAATCAATAAAAAATAAAATTAAAATAATCATTTTGTACTTCCTTTATCGTAATTGCATTACATGTAATAGTATATGTTTCCTATCAATCATTATATAATCGAATTAAATATATTAGAATTAATTTAATTCGAATCAAATATACCATTCACTATTATAGGCTACTACCATCTTATAGACACAATTATTTAAAATATCCACATGTTACAAAAAATTGCGATTTTCAGAGCAAGGTACCGTCGGATTTTACAAAACAGGAAATGACGTCGGTTGCTAGGCTACATCGCATGCATATTCAGTAACACCTGTGCTCATTAGACTAACAATAAAAACTTTTAGCTCAGTTTTGACAAAATCTACCAAAAAGATTTTATTGTTAGTCTAATTAGAACAGGTGTTACTGAATATTCATGATTATGCATGAGCTTGTTGCCTAGCAACTACGTCATTTCCGGTTTTATGTTGCATTGTTGAGGGCGTCCCCGAAAGGATTTCATTGCTATAGACAAAGTAGCTACAGTATTGATGAAGCATCGATTTATTTTTTCCCTATTAGATTTATTAAAGTAAACACAGACATTGAATAAGATGAGAAACAATTCATAATTCCATTTGATCTTTATTTCAAAGTATTTGAAATCAAGTTGGTATATTTGTCAACACATAAATAATTGCATATACATGTACATTTGGAAAAGTCAATAGGCCTGGTTTTAGTCCTAAAATGTTATATTTTATTAGGTTTTTATTACATATGCCTATATTCTTTGTAACAATATTTTTTTCTCTATTATTAAGATAAACATTACTAGTAGTAATACAATAATTTATATATTAATAAACGTATGCAGCATAAATTATAAATATTTATCACATTATTTTTGATAATTTTTAACAAATAAATTTCACATATTTTAATTAATTTCATATCCACAATTTTGCAGGAAGCTTGATATGAGTGATAACAATTTCGTCTATCTATAAATAGTTGGTAAGTTTTGTTGCCCTTTCACGATCAAGTCTGGACATCCTTTCCTGATATGTGGATTCGGATTTTTTGTCTACCTTACTGGAAGAGAAAAATATTGAGAAAAGTTTTAGAAGCAAAAAGAATTAAAACGCGAAGTATCAACAATTAATAAATCAAATTAGTGAGCACACTGGCCCACTGAGCATTCAGTTGTCGCATTGTACGGACGATGCTGCTGACACAACAGAATGGTACTTCACATTTTTTTTTTATCATATCAGCATTATATTACATATCAATTATTATTTTTTTAGTACCATAATACCAAAAATGAGTTTGAATGAATACATTTGTATAGGGTAGGCCTACTAAATTGCAATAGCATGAAAAATGTGTTAGCATTTGATTGTCATGGGTAAATGAAATGTATGGTAAATAAGTATGGTGTACGATTCGACAGAAATGAATATAGGCCTTGATTCATAAATATATTTAAACATTTGAGATACACTTAATACCAGTATAGCTATATCTTCATACACAACAATTTTCATGATATACGGTAATATTTACAAATATACTGTCTGTCAAGAGCTAAAAAACCATATTTGAATTTAGCAAGTTATTACCTTACAATTATAAATTTGAATTATCCTGTCAATTAACAGACAGACTTAAATAATACCTTTGTTATAATTATATATACATAGACCTTAAAGTGGCTGAGAGTCAATTAAAGATTTTTGTAGAATCAGAGAACAGGGGAGGCGCCAGGATTTGCCCGACGGGGGGGGGGGGCGATGTCCCGACGAAGGGTCAGATTTCTCCGACGAAATTAAAGTGGGCGTGATGGAACTTCGATTAAAAGGTTTCAAAAGTAGTCCAGGGGGCGAAGCCCCAAAAATTTTGACAATTTAGGGGTTTCAAAGGCTAATCGATTTTAGAGTATTAATAAGTAGGAAATACATTTTTTTTTAAAATTCTCCCGACGAATTGTGCCCCTGTCAGATAAAAGAAGAAAAACTGCCAAAAAACTGGGCTCAGGAGCCTCATGCAGTCAGAGTAAAATAACTTAAATCCTTGGTCCATTAGAAATATTTAACGGCTTTGGTTCGCTTTGACCACAATATTAAGGATTGGCTATCAAAATAACATTAGTGGGATCGGTGAATTATTATTTTCAGTGCGACGCCCTCGTCGTGGAGACGATGGGTGGGGGAGCAATGGGTGGGGAATGGGGGTCGTCATGCTTGAGTGTACAGTAATTGCAATTTAATAATATATGTAATTGTAATTGCACACCCACCCACTCCACTGTCGCCACCTCTGAATAAAAAACTTGTTTGATAATGTTTTAATGAAAACCATCTCTTCCCACTGTCAATAGCTTTAAAAAAACAGCTACTGTACATTGTAAGCCAGTTTCTCAGGCCTTTGTTCCACACTCCCTGGTTTTAGCGAATCACTGGAATGTATGTTGTTGTATGACAGCATGCAGCCATGTCAGTGCATACCTCTGTCGTGGTAAAATAACTAACAAAGTTAGTCAAAATAATAAACATAATATGATGACAGAATTTCATTTAGCTATTCAATTAACGATGCAAAACGTTCAATACTCTGTACTCACATTTTGTTATTACTCTATTGTAAAGTCTTCGTGAGCTCTCCACTCCATACATGCAGTATTGTTTACATTTAAAACGCCACCTAGAGAGGTATATAAACAAGACATTGTTTTATTAATGTTAATTCTTTTTTTCTAAATATTAAAGTAGAATGTTATTCTCTTATTTTCAGTAACGTTTCACCATTAACCTAGTGGTTTCATCAGACTGACATTAACAGTTTATCTCCATTCCAAATGAAATGTTCAAAAAATACATTATTTTTATTGTTAAGCGTCTTTATGATAATGTCGGTTGATTAAGAATCAATTCTCAGGCCACTGCTTTTTTACTCTGTATAAACGATAGTACCAAATTAATATGTGGCATCGAAAGTTAGTAGTACGTACCAGGCCCTGAGGCAAGGGGTAGGGTTACAGACGCGCACCCCCTCCCAAAATTTCAAAAGGTCCATTTTTTTTCACCCTATTTCAAAAAATTGCTTCAAATTATTGCTAAATGCTATGGTGTGTATTTCATCTAACCATTTTTGATAACTGTGGTATGACATTTGCTGGAATGTTCAGCCCCGGTGATTATACTATTGTATAACAATATTATCTATAGGCCTACAGATGTAAAGGACATAAAACGGTGTAATGGTACTTCTTCAGTTCCCTAAAAACACAAATTAATGAAAATTTAAAAAGAATATTCATGAATGGGTTTGAGAAATAAATCATAATATAATTCACTAAAAATGCTACTTTGCCGAAGCATCTAGGTCCCTGTCCTGGATCGACCCTCAAAGTCCACTTTTTGAAAGTAAAAATCACTAAAAATCGTTCCTGATTAACGTGAAATGCACTTTTGCCAGCTCTTCTAACCGTTGTTTTTTAATTACCGTGGTACGAAATTTGTTGGAAATTATCAGCTACACTAGTGATTGCAGATTGATCCACTATGAACAATTTTGTCTGTAGGACTTCAGAGTAAAGGACATAAAAACGTTATTTCTTCAGGTCCCTACAACACCCAAAACAAATGAAAATTTACAGAGTATAGGCCTATTCACAAATATGGGTTTCACAAATCCTATAAGGCTTTCAAAATGCAACTTCGTCAGAGCGTCCAGGGGTTTCTCCCCCAAAACCTCACTCGACCTCCAAATTACAAGTCTTTTTTTTTTTTTAGAACCTCTTAATTCAGTAAAAACTAGCTGTAATATACATATTGCATATTATTTGCCAGCTCTTCAAGCCGTTGATTTTTAATAACTGGCGGTACGAAATTTGTTGGAAACTATTAGCTCCAGTGACAGGAGATGGATCCATTATGAACAATTAAATGTTATCTGTACAGATGTAAAGGGCATAAAAAGTTAAAGATTTAGGTCCCTAACAACACCTAAATGATTAAAAATTTAAATAGAATAGAAATCCATTTACAAGGCGCTCAAAATTCCAATCTGTCGGAGCTTTCGGGGACTTCGCCCCACCCCGGTGGGATCCCATAGGGGCCCAGCATAAGTTCCGTTTCGCTCTCAAAAAACGCCCCTCCACATCGAAAATCCTGCCTACGGGCCTATATATATGTAAAACAAGGACGGTTGGGAGAGGCAAACTTACAAATTAAAAAGTAAGGTCTTGAAGAGGTCGTATAGTTTAGGCCTATAACGCCAAAAAATAAGTTTATGATAGCCACACATTTTGACCGCTGTGGTGTGTTATAGGGAGAGCAAACCATTACTGTCTGATAACTTAAAAAAAGTCGATGATACGTGGTACAGTAAAACATTAATTATTACCACTACATAGTTTAAAAATGTGAAGTATATAATATTAAATTCTGTATAGTAAACAGGGATAAAACTTTATCATTTATATTTGTTAGATTTAGGACATTTGGCAGCTTTTGTAATTCTAATGCAATGCATACTCCGCTATTTGATCGTACCAGGGTAGAGTGAATTTTTGTACCCAACTCTTGGAATTTACAATACAGTATTGTTTTTCTTTTTCAATTTCGTTCAGGACAGCAAATACAATACAATAATAATGAGAAACAAAACAAGCAAAAAAGAAGCAAACCATTTGATATCAAACGAAATTTATTATAAATGAATTTTTTAATATGAACAATTGGAATAAACTTGCAACATTTTGTATAAAACTCTATAAAAACATTAAATTGATGTATTAACAATTATTGTAATATAAAAAACGATCGCTACAATTTACATTTATTTATAGTAATAATAAAATTCAATGTCGAAAGCATGTAATCGGAGTTAAAAACTGCTATTTTCCTAGTATGTTGATATATTATATAAGGTTTACATCTAAATGTAGGCCTAATGCACATTCACGAATTATAATACACAAATAAACAAAAATATGGCACATAAAAATTACATTGCACATCATTCAGAAGAAAATCTGTCGATAAGGTTAAAATTACAGTACAGTAATAGGAGTAAGGTAGTAGAAGGCTAAATTTTGTGTTGGTACATTTTTTGGTATCATGCTTACATAAATCGTACGTATTTTGGAAACCATTAAATCTACACCAATAAATTTGATACTTTTTGAAAGCTAAATTAACATACTGCTGTGTTTCTCATACCAATACTAGATAGTCATTATCATTTGAACTTTAACATAAACTGCACTATTATTTTTTTTTTATCAAATCATGATGTGCATGGCTACAAATTTGGTACCAAATGAAAGCCAACAATTGTATTTTAATGTTTTATGATATCTGTCTCTTATACACATCTAGATGTGNNNNTATATATATATATATATATAATAGCAATAGCATTTAGTAAATGAATAAATAAAATATTTCATATTGATTTTTGCTCTGATATTTACTTCCAAATCGAAAGTGATACAATTTCAAATTAATATATTAAGCTTTTGCAATAATCCAACATTTATATGAATATACACAGTAATATACAAACAAATTAAAATTGGCCTATGAAATAAATTCAATGCAATATCATATATCACTATGTTATGTGATACTGTAGATTAATTAAAAAGAGAGATGCCAAGGGGATTTTATGAGTCCTCTCAGGGAAATTTTGCCATATATTTTAAACTGTAGTACCTTTCCGCTGGCCTATTTGTCGTAGTACTTCATCCACTAGGTCAGCCGGCCTTTTAAACAACTCTTTGTTGTCTAACACAACTTCTTTTATAATGCTGTCAATCTTCAGTATCATTTTGTTAGATTTTTTTAGCACAACTTTACTAATACTTTGTTGGTTCCTCCACAAACGCCACTTTCTCGCAACTAATGATTTCCGAAATCGCACTTTATCTAAAGTCTCTTTAATGCAAAATGTTGTTTGGATTCTACGAATGGCTTTTGACTTAACTCCACTTTCTACAAAATATTCAAGAGCTAGTCTTAACTTCTTTGCTGAGTACATCCTAATGATGATTGTCACAAAGACTAGAAGGATGCAAAGTCTGGTCATTATGACATAAATTATGAAAAAGTAGGGTAATGTCATATCATCTGGTGTTCCTTCTCGAAGGCCTCCCAGAAGGACTCTAAACAGAAGTTGAAGACCCTGCACCCAAGATGAGAATGGCTGAAGAACACTACCATACAAGATTCTACCAAGGAACACAAACAAGGCCATCGTCATGATATAGATCGGCTGTGCTAGAAGAACTTTCTTTAGAACTGCCTTTAATGTGGCTGTAAGATATTCAAGATGAGGAATCCAGCTGATTGAATCTAGAAACATCAGAATGGTGACCATCAACAATGCTGTTGCTAATACATTAGATTGTTGCTGTTGCTGAGCAAGTTCCTGAAGCTCTCCAACACTAGCCTCTCTAAGTGAAATAGTTTTTAATGCCCCAATGTACATGTAAGACATAAAAGTTGCTGTCAATGAAAGACATATGAACACAAGATTTCCAAGGTTACTGAGCTTCTGATAGAATGCTCTGCCTTGTTTGTTCATTGACCTTAAATTTGAAACCAGCAATGCTAGTGTCAGTATTGCTAAAGCCATCACAATATACTGATCTATATCAGAAGGTGCATATCTAAGGACAGCATAGTTTGCTGATGACTCACCATAGCCACCAGGTGAGATCTCCATTACTAGTGTCACAATGCAGATTGAACTTGTGTATAGATTTATTACAGCAAATTCAACAAAGACTGCTCTGGTAAACTGATCAATCCATTTCCTCTGCTGGAGATAGTCAATTATTTCTAATACTCTGTCAGAAGAAGGTCCAAGCTCTGCTATGTAACCGGCATTAGAATAAGAAGCATATTTGCCACGGTAGGCTATTCCTCCAGATGATTCTTCTGGAGAAATGTAGTCATATCCAGGTAATTGGGATCCACTGGTTAAATCCTGAGACCAAGAGACAAAATGTTCTTTTTGATCTTCTGTTGTGGATGAAAATGGAACAGCACAAAGTTCTTTAATTAACATTGTCATATTCATGTTCCTGCAAGAATCTGAAAAGAAAATAATTTTGGTTATAATTTCATATCACATAGGCCTAAGAGCATATATATAACAGATTTGTATAAGCACTCAAACATATAAGACAAAAATGCATATTAAAATGTGAATTTAACAATGTTCCCTACCCAATAGATCAATAGCTTTCACTTACCAGAACGTGTTCTTTGAACTCTAAATTGTCTGAATCGAGGAAAACCTAGAAACATAAGATGATCATAAAAGGGCGATCTGTCTATCACCAAAGAAGCTGCCGGATGAAAAGTTTGCTTTGACCACTGAAAGAAATCTTCTCCCTTGCTTACCTGAAAAAAACAATGAGAAGTCTAGCCTATATACGGTTAAATGAGGTTATAAAAAAAAAGAAAAAAAGAAAAACGAAACAAAAGATTCTATGTGGCTGCTTAAGTACCTCCTACTACTCCAAATTTGCTTCATAATCTCCTCAGCACCCCAAATCTGCTTCAAAATTTCATGGAACCAAAAATTGGCTTTATAAGATCTCTCACCATGCAAGTTTGCTTCTGAAACCCCTTTGCACATCTATTTTCCTTCAGAAGCCACTCAAAACCCCATTGTCTTATTGAGTATCCCAATTTGTTTAATCTGTTTGAATACTAATAAATCTTTCATGCTATATCAAGTTGTATTACATAAATAAACTATTAAAAGTTATCACATAATAAACAATCAAAACCATGCTGTCATTACATTTGCATTTTTACTACAGGATTAGATGAAATTAAATGAACCTTACCTTATAAAATGACACAGAGTTGGTCTCATAATTAGACACAAACATGTCTTCTGTTGCTTTCTTCATATAATAAGCTGGTGGATCATTGAAAACAAAAACCAATAGTAGCACCAGAGCCGTAAATAATCCTCTTCCTGATATTTTCACAATTATCCATAATGTCCTCATGTTTTTTGTAATTGGTTTTTGCTCATAATTCATGGAACCATAGATCTTGGATTTTGCAGCTTTATTCTTGAATCTATGGAATCTTAGGAAAGCTTTCAAGTCTTTTCTTTTCTGCAAAGGTTCAAAAATGTATCTGGTGTTTGACATTGAAAACCTCTTCCAAAATAAAGATTTAAAAAAAGCATTTAATGCCCATTGGATTGGTACCTTCATCAAACTTATGATTAATGCTGATATTAACGCAACCACCATATTCATCACCACTATCTCTGGATAAGCCAAGCCAAAGTAGATGGAGAAGAATCCAAAGCCAGCAACTATGCAAAGAGCAAGTATCCAAAGACAAATGGTAACCCACCATGGTAAATATCTCTTTTCTCTGCTTCTGCAGATTTTCTCTAGTAAGATAGTTACACACGATGGCTTATCAGTCTGCATTTGTTTCTGTTCAAGTTCAGCATGCATCCTTTGCTTTTGCTTCCACAAGTTCTTTTGGATCATTTCTTTACCTTTGCATTTTCTTTGAAATCCTTTGGTTCCTTTACCTCCAGATTTCTTTTTCCTGCTTCCAGATCTACCATCTCTGCTACTGTTCTTTGATGTTTTTGATATAGTCACTTGCTTCTTTTTATCTGTATTCTTTGCATTATTATTATAATTGTAAGTCTTTGCAAACTCTCTATGACCCAATTCATTCACAGGTCCTGTGTATATACGTCCAGAATTTTCTAGTGTGAACTGGTGAAATCGTCTAGCAAAGTCACTTATTTCTTTCTTTATTGTGCACCGAGAATGATCCTCACACTCAGTAACTACACCACTATCCAACTCTTCTTTAACAGTTTCTGAATCTGCTGACATCCCATCAGTATCTGAATTATCATTACAGCTCTTCCTAATACATATCAGTTCCTCAACTCGTTCACGTTCAATAAAGCAATTTTTGTCTTGCAAATCTTTTGTTTTTTTAAACATTTTAACATCTCTAGTTAATGTGCAGAGAATAGCATGCATCTGCTTTTCTGGGTGGTTTGCAGTTTGTAGGAAAGAAGAGCACTGACCCTCTTTCAAACACTGATTATTATCACCACCAAACATATACATTAGCTCTGGTGCTTCTTGTGGATTAGCATTCTGATTTAAATTCTTTAACATGTTGCTTTCAGAGGAAGCATCAGTTGAGGTTGATGTAAATGATGAGCTGCTTTCACTGTCTTTCTGAGACGGATGCTTTTTAGCACCATGGTGCCGCATCTGGGACCACCGACGAGAAACACTGCCTTTAACTGCAGGTTGGGCATCCCGCTTCTTAATCTTAGTTTCAGAATTTACTCGCATGGCTGTTAAAGAATGTTGAGAAACCTCTAACTCTGGGAAGCTGGTGAAAACACTAGAACGAACACTATCCACATCAAATGAAACATTTTCTTCCAGTGCTACATCTTCTAAAGACAACTGTCGCTGCGGCTTTTGACGACTCTCTTCTAATTTAGTCTCTTCTTCATCAGAAGTATATGTAGCTAAACGAGGTTTGATTGAACTGAAGAAATAAATGAACATCAACCTTACAGGAAGGGAAATTAAACCTGCTTGCAAACCATACATTACTGATGATGCAGAAAAATTAAATGGGATGTCAACTTCTATTTTCCAGCCAAGATAATTATGAAAAATAATACAACAGGAAATGATCATCATCACACTAACCAACCAGGAAACAGTTATCTCTGTTAAGGTCAAACTGCTTCCAATTGTTCTCCAGTATGACCAGAAACCATGATGAATTTCATCAGTATCAAACAAATGTAGCTTCCCAGAGAGTTCTTTGTTACTGGTTGCCTTAAATGTCTGAGGGTGACAATTCTTTGACATCCAGCAATTACAAAAGAAGAAATATCGTACACCAGTCCAACAATCCATAATACAAGCATGGCTCAGGTGCCTACAGAAATACAATAAAACACTTTTCAGAACATACTGTAATATAAAATTTTTTAAAGTAAAAAATGTAATAATAAATAATATCAGTGGCGGATCCAGGAATTCAAAATAGAGCGGGCCTGGGGAGGTACAGTACTTTCACAGATGGAGGTTCTATACCACCTCAGTCCCACCATAGTTGGGGCCGAGGAAAAAAAATTTGTGATTATGGCACCTCTAAATGGTCAGAAATTGCACCCTCAGACTTAAAACTTGAATATAATTTTTCTTTTTATCTCCATTTAAAACAAAATTTTGAACAATATGGGGGGGGGGGCCTGCACCCCCTGAATCCATCACTGATACTGATGATTACAATATAATATCACTGACTAATTGATAATTAATATTTCTGTTAATCTAATAAAAAATTTATTAACTTCAACTATGTTTGAATGACCAAAAATATATACAACCCTAGTGCCTTGCAATTTTTCAATACTGTAGTTCCTTTTTCAATTTGTTGAGATAAGTAATATTTTTGTGATCTAGATTCTCTAAGGTTACCAAAGCTTACCATGAGGGTGTGTATCCATGGCCATCTAGATAAATGGTCAGAGAGGTGATGTTATTTAGAGGCTTCGGAGTTGACATGAAATATGCATCAATGCTTCCTTGCTTGAATGATAAGTTGTCAGGATTTGATAGATGGTAGAGGCCAGAGCTAAGAGCAGAACCGTCTGACAGCATGGCATATATCTAGATATTAAAAATAACCATACCAATATTGTTTAACATGCACATTAACCTTCATGCAGATGGGAAGCAATGGCTTAAACATCTTTATTGCTATCAGTATTAGCAAATACAAAACTACAATTTATAATAATAATAATAATAGTTCAATTTTGACCAAATACATTTTGCTAACAGCCTCAAAATGCCTAATGCTTTTTAAAGATATACAAATGAATGAAGTACAATAATACAAAAAGGTGACAAAGGTTTATCAGCAATGAGTGCTGTATAATGTGGACAGTGTAATGTTTAATAAACCAAAAACTACTAGTCTTTTTCAAAGATGGTGCATATTACAAACTTGCATTTCACCACTCCAGTTGAAATACAAGAAAGCAGCATTGAAACTGAAACAGAGTGAAAGGATCTTCATGGTCAGTGGTTACTGTAGTAAGGTGGAAGAGAGCAGTGGTGTATGTACGTCCCCCCAAATACTGCCCTGCCCCCTAGTCACCCTCCCTCAAATTAAAATGTTTGAAGCAATAAAATCATGCTCAAGTTGTTAAAGATCACATCAAATCACCTTATTTTGCAAGCTAGTTCCCCCTCACCTAATCATCTAGCCCCTCCCACACTTCACCTTCACACCCAACCCCTCTCATTTCAAGACTCCTGGATACACCACTGGAAGTGAGTGGAAGCAAATTGAACCTCAATGGGCCACATTCCATCGTAATTAGTGACACTGATAGCAAATGGATTCATGACAAGATGTCTTCTCACCTCTGAGGTTGTGCCAGCATCAATCTCATTACCAGTGAATATTGTCAGCAGGTAATTGTAGGGACCAGTTTGAAGATCACCAAACATCTAAAATGTAAGCATTTCGATAGGGTTTGAGAACAAAGCAATATTTTATCCAATATTCATTCACAATAGATATTACACATTACCATGAGAAAAAACATGTCCTGATGTAAGTAAACCAGCTTAAGCTCATAGCTCAGTTGGTGGATCAGCCAAACAGGAATAGGACTCTTAGGAATCTGGGTCTTATGAATCATGCTGAGGACAATACTTTTTCTCGCAAATTTTTAAAAACCTTTATATACAATTGGGAGTTTCTAATCTATGCCAAAGTAGACGTTTAAACTCATTCATCAGAACAAACTGCCTACCTTTTCATCTATCTGTCTATCAAGTCTAAAAGCCAGTAACAGTAAGAATAGGAAAATACAGAGAATGCCTCCCAATATATAGTACATTAGCTGACTCTCCTCAAGGGTAACAATGATGACTGTCTCTTCGATATGATATATTTGCTTCTTCCCCGCCACAAAGAAACTGCCACCAAATGCTGTCAAGTGATTACAGAGGCAGTGTGTAAAAGACGGCATTGTCAAAGTTCCAACCTATAGAGAATTTTCAATATTAATCTTTCATTCATATTCATATAAATAATTTCAAAAAGTTTCATTTCAAAACAATAAAAAATTATCATATATATATTCTAAAGAAACTACAAAAAAATATTGTCTAATATTGTCATATACAATATGTATAATATGAAAGATTTTTAAGGATTCAATACATTTATTGCTATTGGTAATCGTGGTACAGTATATCTATGTACAAATAGTTACTTAATTATTTACTAATCATGTTTCGAAACAGCTACACAATTTATAGGAATGTCAGTTAAATTAAGTTAAACATTTATAATCAAGAGATGCAGAAACAGCTTTTGGTAGCATTGGTCACAGGTTATGAGCACAGGTAAACATAAACCAGCCGTACCTCACAACCATGAGGGAACCACTGCTCATACTTCTCTGACCAGAAAAGGCACCGAGCGTTATAAATCTTGATATCGAAGTCCACTTGCTGACGAGGGTCATCTGCATAGCTATCATTGCCATGGCCAGACAAGACTGTGAACTTGTCTTTGGGCAGTGGCTTTGGTCTTACAGCTAGGTAATAGCTACCAAATGAATAAAGGACATTCTCAGCTATGAACCATGTGAAAGGGTTGGTAGTGATGTTGGCTGTATCATTGTAGATCGATTCATAGAGGCTGTGTGATGGCAGAGGCATCTCAATCTTTAAATCGTAAAGTCTAGTGGTTGGACGGAAACCAAATCTATAAGTAAATGAATTAAAGAAATCAGAATTGAATAAAACAAATTATATTTTAAAATATCTTCAATTTTTTGTCAATTTGATTGGAATTGATTGCTTTACTAACAAATTTAGTGGAATTATGTATGAGGTTAAAATATTAATAGTAAGTTTATCATGTTGAAATAAAGGTAATGTGATGTATAAATATTTTTCATAAAATTAAAATGCATTGTGTAATGAAACGTTAAAGTGAGTACTTAAAATTAATAGAATTGCAATTTTTAATGAATTAATAATAATAATTATATACATGTTGAGAATTTTCTATCACTATCAGACTCTCATATTCATAAAATTAAAATTTCATATTTTCATAAAATTAAAATGCATTGTGTAATGAAACGTTAATGTGAGTACTTAAAATTAAACTTTATAGAATTCCAATTTTTAATGAAAATAATAATATCCTCTTGTAGTCATAGCTGGAAAATGATATACAGGCAAATTCACTGTAGTTCTTCTATGTCAGATTATATGGCACATTATTATAATTCTATGGTTCAAGCATAGTTTTGTTTGGTCCTCTAAAGGCACTTCACTACATCTTAGTATGATAAATTTTCAAGAGCTTACCGGAGATAGGCTGTGAACTGTGTTCTTGGATCAGTGGGCACAATATCAATATGAATGGAGCTGTACATTTCTGATATGTTGAAATTGACGAACAGCAACTCATCTGGTGCAGTACTCAATGTGTCGAACTCCAACGTGCTTGCATCACCTCTTGGTAACAGCATCTCAAGCCTGGAGTTCAGGTCTGATACGGCCAATGTTTCACCTACACCAACAACACCACAAAATATTATTTATTAAATAAAATTCTTATAAAAAGGCAAGTGATTTACTGCTTACTAGATGGAAATGACAAATTACCTTCAAGATTTCTCATTGTTAATGATGCAACTGATGTCCTCACTTCATATCCACTAGCATGCCATGTATAAGGGTTATCAGGCATGCTCATCACCTAAAAATAATAAAAAAAGAATTCATTAAGACTTACAAACAATACAATGAAGGGACTTCAGCTGTAGCTTGGTGGGTGGGATGTTTGCCTTCTAATTCTAGGGTGTTCAGTTTCAAATACTCTAAAAAATCTCATACTATAAGACATGCTTGCCTCTCAATTGTATCGGTTCCAGGCACAAAGTTTGCTTTGGCTTCTCAACCTTATTATCATCATTATCAATATCACTATCATTACTTTTTCCATACTTTCAATGCTGATATCACGGTTCAATTTTTGCAAATTTCACAATTAATGTCACTACATAATCTAATTTACTGGATGAGCCATGTTCTTCAAAACTAATTAATTAAAAAACCTTATTAATTAATTATTTAATTATGGTTATTTTCACCTGAACCATGATTTCGTCTCCAAATTGTGAGTGTAGCTCAGTGAGCATGCCTTTAGGTATTTTGAACCAACTACCATCAGGGCTCAAGTAAAATCTTAGGCCTAGGGAATTCAAGTCCTCCCTCTTGAGCAACAGTGAAAGTTGATCTGTCTGCAGCAATAATGCCTCTTTTCCTGGAACTTTATGTCTCAGGATGAGATTGGAAACACTGTCAACAAAGGCTAACATTTTCTTGGTTACATTTCGGCTCTGAAAAAAAAAACCAGTTATGTCTTTGCCTTAGCATGTTGTTGTCAAAAAATTAAAAAATTTTTATAAAGTGTAATTAATGCCTAATAGTAGAATCTTACCTTATCCAGCAGTTCAGGAACTGGCATACTTTTTTGATCAGCTGCAGCTTTGACATCATCTGACAACAGTGCTGAAGAATAGAAAAAAACCCAATATTTTGTTGGAGACTGATTTTATTGTACTACTTATTTATTTTAGCTAGAACTACTTTTTTTCTTAGAGCACATGTTCCATTATTCTGTAAGTACTGCTTACTAGCAGAGTAATTTACATAGATCGTCTCTGTTCTACGGCCTAGCGTGCGACTTGTTGAATGTAAGACAGTTGAAAGAGGCAAGGCGTATGTGTTGAGACAATCTGTGTAGAGACAGAGTTTGATTCTATGCAGTAGCTTTCAAAGAATAATCTTTGTTGCAGTTATCTGGTATGTAATAACATCTGTAATTTGTATAATATTGTAATACAAATATACTAAGTTTTATCAGAGTGTAGTTTAGTCATTATATTAGTGTATTTTAATGAAGTATTTGATGCTAGCAGGATGTTAACATCGACGCTCTATACAGTACTGCGTAGGCTGTACAGATTGACCGCTAGAGATTATGCACTGATTTTGGCTAAATAGTTTACGATGATTATTACCATGAATGCTTAGTAAAATGTCAACTTACTTTACTGATAATTGTTGTTATAATGTTTTATGATAATGTGTCTAAGATAGAACAAATGTAATTAATGTGGGTTTCTAATATGATAAAACATGCTAACAATTGTTTATTGCCAGCCTTGCGCCTGGTTCCAGATACAGTTGTAGATAAGTTTTTCCACATGTTCGACTGGCATTTTAATATTGGTTGTCGCTAACTCTTGTGCTATTTGAGGGTTAATGATGAGATGCAACATCCGTAATGTTAATGTTATGATTATACTATGAGAACTGATGAATGATTTCATGTATTTACCGAGTTAAACAGAGGATTTTCAATTGAAATTTGTACACTGAGAGATTAATGTATAACAGAGTTATTGTAATTTATTATGTTCGTACCCATGAGAAGATATAATTTGACGTTACATTAGATGTGCAGTAATGTGAGATTTATAATTTACAATAAGAGACTATGATTTAACCTCTAACAATTGATAATAGCCTTTACCTTGTATTGTAAGATTTTAATGTAATCTTTGAAATGGGAGTTAAATTATCTAATGCTAAACAATATCAACTTGTGTATTTGAGGCCTTACCGCTCGCTACATCCTGTGTTTTGACTTGAAGAGATAACTTTGATACACATTACTTATTTTATTTTCTCTATTGTTTCAGGGTTTTTTCTTATGGTATATTGTGCCTTATAATGATCTGGTATTGCAGTTGTTTTAATAAACATTACACAACATATTCAAGTCTTGGTTCATTCTTTCGACTTACCAACCCACAACAATTCAAACAGTTTTACATCCAGACATCCAATGGTTTCACTTAAATGTCTTAAGTGTAGCACAATAGTAGAAGTATAGTAGTTTTTGTAGTAGTAGTAATACCAGTGGCTTTGGTGGTGGTATAAGGTATTGGCAGCAGCAGTAACAGTGTTGTTAATTGAGTTTTTTTATATCTATGTATAAATATACAGTAGTACACTGTTGGCTTAAGATGCAAATTTAAAACAAACAATTTCTTTTTTTTTACCTTGCATGACACCAAGCATGGCAGAATTATTTTTAGACATAACATCATCATCTGCAGCAATATCAGCATCAGCCAAATATTTATTCCAGGCTTCAGGATCAGTGCTAAGATGGTCGTAGTATTCAGTACTCTGATAACTGGCTGCTTTCAGTAGGTTGGATGCACCTGTAACAAAAAACCCACTAGTAACAAATGGATATTTAGCTGATAGAATGCATATTTGTTTACACTCAGACGCTAAACTTAAGGTTGTTGTGTAGAACATTTATAGTCAGTAAACTATACTCTTTGATAAAAAATACCATTAACAATCATTATAGTAAACAATAGAAACACAATGCCTTATAGGAATAGAGATTTTTTAAAGAAAAATATAAATATTTGTTACCAGCAAAGAAGTTGGTTGATATCGCTTGAACATTCTCTTCATATAATTGATCATTCAAGTTCGTCTGCAATAAGCTCAGCATATCTGAATACTTTTTAGAAACTTTAATCTACAATCAACAATCAATCAAGATTTATAAGGGATAATTTACAGTGTAGTATATGTTATAAAACACTGCATCATTGTGAATACAAGGTGAAATTTTTAAAAATTCATAAGTGTCTGTATATATATGTGTAAAAAAGTAAAGTAAAAGAATGTAAAATGGTACTTGTAATTTTACGTCTCAACACAGTCTGAGACAGAAGACTCAGAGTGAAAACATAAAGCCAATAAAATACTTGTGCTACAAAGACGTCCACAATTAAGGTAAACAAAAATGTTATTAGTTTCTTTCAGATAGAGCTCAGAATCACTGATTATAATGAGGCTAGCAAAGGCTGCAGCCATGTGAATTGAAGTGGTCAGGCTGCGAGCGAAGTGAGCACTGAAGCTGGGGGCCCCCTTGGTCTGGGTTCAGGGGAAAGCCCCTGGAAAAAATTGATATTTTTACATTGTATAGACAAAAAAGTGGTCAGGTTGAAACCTGACCAACTGTACCGGTGGCTACGGGCCTGAGTAGGTCAACTTATTCCATACAAGGAAGTACTAGAGTGTTATTACTTGTGTTATTCCATACAAGAAATTTTTGTACTAGAGTGTTACCTGTGTATCATAGTTCAACTCCTCTGGCTCATTCATTATCTGCGTCAACACTGACGACATTTGTTGCAATGTTTCAATGGTCTGCAGCACAACATTTTCAACATCATCCACAAGTTTTGATCGTAACTACAACATATAAATGTATTTACAAGTAGATAATAATTACAAATTGCATTAGATACGTACAGCGGTTGCTCTGATGTTCACTGTCTTCTCCCATTATCACAGGTTCAATCCTATACAATGGGTTAAAATATTGCAGCAGAAATGGGGCCTAAAATTATCATAAATGGTTAAAAACATGCAACTGTTTTATAGGACGGCATGCTGCTAAACCGTTTATTTGCAAAAATAATATTAATCAAAATGTTTTGATAAAGGCAGGCAGTACTGGATCCTTTACAGATATATGTCCAGATTCCACCAATAAACAATCATTAAATATAAGATATATAATAAATGATAAATCCAAAATACCTTTTGGTTTAATTGTTTGCCCCAAGTATCACCTTCCTGCTTGGAAACTTGGTTTAACATGACAGCGAGGTCACCAATGTACTTCACAGATGCCTGTGTATCTCCCTTTGCTATTAGCTCATCTAACAGAGTGTTGGATTGGTTGGAAGTTAAAGCTAATAATTTGGACTCTACCACTTCAGATGTAGAAGCTGTTACCTGAAAGCACAAGAAAAAAAAAACATTGTGAAAGCATGCAGCAAGGATGTACTAAAATTGTAATTGGGTTTCAAATATAAAAGTTTAAAGTCGAAGCACCAGGCTGGTAATATTGCTTGAGATATTTTATCAACATTTTGGAGTATAAATGGGGACCTAGTTGGAAATAATGATGTTCACTGAATTACAGGCATGGTTAAGAATCCAAGTTGAGATCATGTATCTAATGACTTTATAATATAAAATCATTTTCACTATCCTTATTATTGTCATTATAATTGATGTTGTCACCATTGCTGTTGTTAATTGCTACACTACTATAGAACTACAGTTCCCCAACACTGATGCAAGTCAAAAATCAATGAGGTACTTTAAACATGAACCCTATTTACCTCGACTTGTAATGCCTCTTCAACAATAGCTCCAACAACATCTGTCACCTTAACCAGAATCTGCACAATATTGTCATCTCCTTCACCTGCAGGAAGGTTAAAAAGTGGGGTGCTGCCCTCTGGACTGTGGTAAATCAGGGTATACAAACTTGCTGGTACAAACTTGTTTTGTGGTCGATGGTTGTAAAGGAACTCATAGCTTAAAGGGTACTGCTGTGATGAATATCCTGGTAATGATATAATTGTTTTTAAGCATTTCTTCACATCCAAAAAGCAAGTACACTTGCACAATACAGAATGAAAATATGTGATGATATATACATTCTCATTATGAGGCTTACTAAGAAGACTAGAGTAGTTGTTTTTGGTTGTTGAAGAAATCCTGACATCGAACCCAGGACACTGAATGGAAAGCAAGCATCTGAACCACAAAGTTTTACACTCAAGAGAAACTATGTTATGCTGCAATTTACCAGATATAAACTCTTACCGTGACAGCTGATAGAAAAAGATGTCTCATATGATATTCCAGATATGGGAATGATGGAACAGCTCCCAGCCTCTGGAAGTAATCCTACAATAAACTCATAGTCAGCTTTTCCTACCATATGGGAATGATCCCGATTAACGCTAAGATAAACCAATAATGTTTCCCCAGCCTGTTTAAGCAAAGTGGTGGATGGAATAACAAAGTACTTGCTATTGGGACCTGAAAAGAAATAAGTGAGGTGCTGGTCAGTATTTAGTTCATTCGATCACCATGGTCATTACCCATTTACATATGTTTTACATATTTAATAGCTGCTTATGAGAAAATGCACTCAAAACCATTTAACCACTGATACTCCTGGGTAGAATTTTTTTATTTATATATGAAAACATATTTGTGAATAAAATTAAATGTAAATAAAATTGAATGTATTTTTTTTGAGTAAGTAAACTAAGCAAACATAGTGTAGTCACAGAGAATGTATTTATTTTTCCAGAAAATCTCATACAACACCACAGTTTTTCTCTTTTCTTTTTTGTGGCAATGGCCACGGCTATTCAAAATCAGATACTGATACTCCTGGGTAGAATTTTTTTATTTATATATGAAAACATGTTTGTGAATAAAATTAAATGTAAATAAAATTGAATGTATTTTTTTTTTTTTTGAGTAAGTAAACTAAGCAAACATACTGTAGTCACAGAGAATGTATTTATTTTTCCAGAAAATCTCATACAACACCACAGTTTTTCTCTTTTCTTTTTTGTGGCAATGGCCACGGCTATTCAAAATCAGGCATGTGCAATGCAGTTACTCAGCCACAAATTCTTTTGAATTATCTTCCTTTAACTTTTTAGGCCTCAAATTTGAAAGATCAAAATTTAACCACAAGGTGGTTAAGTCACTACTGTCCATAGGCAAGACATAGTTACCTGGTAGGTTGTGAATATTTTATTGTATTTCAATGTTTGTTGTGTAATTTTAAGCTTGTAAAATACCTTTATACTGTATTTAAAATAAATCTGAATACAGCTGAATGCAGTACTTACCTGTGATGCTTCCATTAAAGGCACCTGATAGTGGCATCTGCCAATCATAATGGATATTTCCAGTGTTGTTGCCACAGTTTTGACATACAGCTCTTATCACTAGACGATGAGACGGACTTACTTTGTACTTGCAGTTCTCAATGCATCTACAGTAGAAAATACAAATGCAGTATTATAAAAAATTAAATATAATAAAGATAAGTAAATAATATAAATACTAATCAACAGAACATAAAAATGATATTTCAATTAAAAAAGCAAAATATTTATAGATGAATATTAATTAATAACAATTTAAATAAAACATTAATATGAACAGAACTCACATAATGTTCATGATAGGAAAATAGCCATCAATGAGGGTAACCTCCTGCTCAAATAATGTACTCTTTCTTCCCTCTTTACTAACATTGATTGAGAACTGTCTCTTATACACATCTCTACGGGCCTGAGTAGGTCAACTTATTCCATACAAGGAAGTACTAGAGTGTTATTACTTGTGTTATTCCATACAAGAAATTTTTGTACTAGAGTGTTACCTGTGTATCATAGTTCAACTCCTCTGGCTCATTCATTATCTGCGTCAACACTGACGACATTTGTTGCAATGTTCAGACTTTACCTTGAAAACATAACAGAAGTGACCATCCCCACATCGTTTTTGAGCAAGATTGCTGAGAGGAGCAGACAATTTTTCGAGAGGCAATTTCCACACAAGTAAATTGCTTTATCAGTTTATCCATAAGTATTCAAAAATGTTATGAAATGTACAAAATTGTGGTAGGGAACTGTCTATTATACAGAAATGAGCTAAATCAATTGTTAACCATTCAAAGACTAAATTTCAAATCCTCCTACCTGATTTCCCATCTTGAAGTCGACAGGACCAGGTTATGTTGAGATCTGGATCTGGATGGAGGTTGATTCCTGAGCCTTCTGCAATTGCATCATTGCCTCTGGAAGAATTGACTGCATCAGGATCAAAAGACAAAGATGCATTTAACAGCAAGCTCTCATTCCTGATGTGGGTAACATAATGTCCTCCAGATAGGTGGGCAACAAGTTGCGAAGGAACCACCTGTAAGTATGTATGATTGGAGTTGCTGATCTGAGCCTCATTGTTCATAGTAACAGTAAGCTGTATGACAAAGCAGCCATAATCTAAACCTCCTCTTGGAATGACAAGCTGGGCTTGGTCAAGCAAGACATCTTTAGACAGCTGATTGTAATTGTTTGAGGCGTCAAGAGGCAGTGGTTCTCCATTGAAGAACTCAAGGACATGTACAGACCATCTGATTGTGGCAGAGATAGTTTCCTGGCAAAAGATGCCGATGTCTGATGACAGGATAAAGTTGAAGCTCTTTTTAATGGTCAGAGGGTCGCTAAAGTTTTTGCTTCCACCCAGTATAATCACTCTTGGCAGCTGACATGGTTCTTTTGTGATTGGTAAATATGTCATAGCAGATGCTGATGAAGCAAAATTGAATCCAACCACATCAACCCTGTAGTTACCAGAGGAGTTGAAAGTAAGTTCAAAAGTTGACACAGAGTGTGTGAAGGGATCAAAAGGGAGGAATATATTATTATCCATGATATTTAGAGCTTCTTGAATAGAATCATGGTTTGACACTGGTGTCTCCAGGTAATAAGTCATGTTAATCTTACCAGGTACATCAAGAATATATGTGACGGATGTACCAACTTGCACAACAAAAACAATGACGGTGATTGGTTGATGCTTGGATGTAGGACCACTATGAGCCAAGTATAAGCCAATCACTTTCTTCTGCATAAATATTTGTGTACTGCATTCCACTGATCCAAATATATTTCTAGAGAAGAGTCTTACAGTGTAGCCTCTAGCTGCAGGGTATTCATGTGGAGTAAACAAATCATTTGTAAAAAGGACAACATCATCACCAAATCGCCATCCAAACCTAAGTCCTGTACCTTGAGTATGGTTAGCGGAAAACACAACTGCATGTTCTATGGAGAAATAATTGTTTGCAGGACCTCCTCCTTGTATCCGGTCTTCACCATCCAAGTAAAATGTATTTATGCTGCAGCCAACAATTGGTTCTTGTATTTGCACAGTAAGAGTTATGGCCTGTTCACTAGCCAAATTATATACAAGGCCAGTAACGGTGTAAACTCCTGGTATGTAGCTATGCTTTATGGATAATATAGTCTGCTTGGTGCTCTCAGTTGCTAACGTTTCATCAATTTGACACTGAGATTCAAAGTGTGGAATTGTGGCATCTGAGCAATCAATTGACGTCTGACGAAGAATCGCAATCTGAGGAATATCATCCAGAGTAGTTGCATAAGACTCGGATTCATCACCAAAATCAACTGTGAGGGTTGCATTAGTGGGTATAGTTTTAAAATATGTGTTCCATTGAATGTCTATGATAACAGTCCCATTAGGGTATTCAACTTTAGCGTCATTAGTACTGATGCTAAATCCATGGATTTTGTTCTGGACCGCAATAAGCACTGGGGTGCTGGTGAATGCATTGAAACGGTTCCAGGCAATGACATACATGGCATACAACCCAACTTGTGAGTAGAAATGAGAACGAGAATCACTTAATCTAGATGATGTTTCATTCAAATACGTTTCAACGACATAATTTGTCCCGAAGTGCCATTCAAATGTCACATTTGTCCCAGTGTCTAAGGAAACATAACATGTGACAATTGTACCCACCGCCACATAAGGCTTGTCAGCCCAAAACTTCAGACCTGTCACCTCATTTTGCACATATATTTTTTTGGTGAGAAACAATTTTTGAGTGACTAAGTTTTCAGCAGTGATGACAATTTCAACCCATCCTGACTGGTTGACATATGCTGCTGGTATAACTCCAAAGCCATTTCCTGAATCATTATCAACGTATGCTTGAAAAACAAACCCTTCATACAAAATAGTTGCGACTACATCTGTACCAGTCTCAATGGTGAAATTAACCAAAAAGTCCATTCCATATTCTGTCATGGGGGTGATGTTAAACATAAGACCTGTGATTGGCAGTTGCACATGTATATGTTTGTAGGCTTGTACTGGCGGGTACACATAGGTACTACAATTGAGTAGTACATCGTATTCATCTACCTCTTCATATGTATGGATAACTGCTGTATAATACATTGTCCGATCAATAATGTAAGTTGAGCCATCACCAAAATCCCATGTGCAGTTGAACATATTTCCTGCGGTCTTCTCCAAATAGAAGAATGTTGGATTACCAAATATGGTAGCATTTTCAGAATGGATTGATAGATCCTGGATCATTTGCGGAATAGGAGGGAGTAAAACCAAGTAGGTCTCGTTAGCAGAGACGACATCAGCGCTCAGGTGGTTAGCTGCTGCAACAGTAACTAGATGCGGACCAAGTTCAATAAACATGTGCTTACAGAAGTGTTTTGTGGTTTTAATTGGTGCGGAACCATCGTGGTAGTCACAGGTGTACTCAACGTTAGTACCCTGCTCAATGACAATCTTGATGAAAGCAGACTGGTCTGTGTGTACAGTGCTGTTTCCCTGGATGTAAGCTGTTAGGCCCTCTATCGGGTACTCCATGTGAGCCAGAGTGCTGATGAGGAGGCTATTTAGCATGTTAGCAGCTTTTACTGTTACATTGTAGGATCCTGGTACTTGGTATTGATAAAACATGCTATACATGTTACCTACGTCAGCCTGTTGTATGATTTCTGTCACACCATCACCTTAATTTCAAAAGACAAGAACATATATTTTGTAGTTTTGCTATCAGAAATGGTCAATAATAATTTATTCTGAATTTGAAATATTTTATAGAAATTGCTGAAAATTATATTTAATTGTTTGTTTTCTGAAATGTGTAACCATGGCTTCACTTAGGTGTTTATTGGTCTGTCTCTGGCAGTCAACAACAGTGTGGTGAGTTATGTCATGACAAATCATGGTTTAACAAACATAATAAAAAAAACAAAAACAATAACAAATATTTATACTGTTGTGTATAATACTTGTTTGACAAATTTTCTGTTTGTGCATATGCATTATTATGCATATTATAATGTTTGATGTTGCTTTGATGAGACATTAATAAAAAAATAACTACTCAGACATACTAATAGAAGTTCAATGCACAGATAGTGTATCGTTAAATATTTACAGTTCTCACCTAGATCAATTGTGTATTCCACATCAGTTCCATAGTCAATGCTCCAAGAAATGACAGTGGCGTTGCCTGGAGTAACTGGCATGACATCATGAAGGAACATTAATCCTACTACATGCTCCTGGATGTATAACTCTTGACTGATGGTCAACTTACTCACAAGGTTTGTTGCCATAAGTACAACATCATATTTCCCTATTAACAAAAACTTTCATTAATTATATATATTAAATTTAATGGGGTAATCCATCTTGCAAATTATATATAGCTTAAATCCAATTTTCTATTTGATGAGGCAGGTCGGTAGCCTAAACTTTTTCCCAACTATTAGATTTTCGGTAATGTCAAGGAGAAAGACAAAAATTAAGAAGCATCCCAAAAGGAGACAAAGATATACAATGCTTGCATGTGTGGTGCTAAAAGGATCAAAGGGAGATAGGAAAAGCGCATGACCGCGAGACCGGCTATTGGAGGCAACATGAATATCCAAGAGGCACTTTGGGCGAAAAAATTTAAAAAAAATAAACTGTTGCGCTATATAGTGTACAGATAACATTTGGTGCTGGAAGCATTTTATTGTGTCAACTTTCATGGTCAGAGGCACAAACAATTTTTTTTCCAGGCCTCAGATCTTCTAAAATTTGACAAAAATGATAAATATGTGTAATTTAAAAGTGAGAGAAGTCAGAAACAAAATGGTGTTAGCAGGATTGAATAGAATTGGCAAGACAAGGGTTGTTGAGGCAGATTGCCTTGAATTGAAATTTTTCTAACAGTACAAGAACAGAGTTGGTATTCCCACCCTAAATATGAGAACAAACGTATAAATAATTAAATCATATCACCTTACCTGCATCTCTGTAAACGTACTGATGTGTATGATATGTTGTTGTGTAGCGAAAGCCATCATCATAGTTCCACTCAAGGAGCAGATCATGGCTATCTCCAGCAAAAGGTAATACAGTGAAGTTGAATATATTTCCTAAAGGATATATAATGATAATATAGGAATTTATATTGTCATGACTTTGCAAAGTGATACAAGGCATTGGTGATGTTATAATTGGATCATTAAATAACTTGCAATCCGGCCAGGCAAAATGTACAACATTCTCTCCCTGGGTTGTACACCTGCATGTTCACTTAATCATTTACTTATTACCTGTTTCTATTCATTTCATATTTATTTATTTTCAATTTATTTTCTCGTCTTATGTCAAAATGTAAAATGCATTGAGATGTTAGTGTAATGTGCAGATTTGTAATCAGTAGAACCTCGTTTTTACGTACCCCAGTTATACGAACCTTCGGTTTTACGTACGCCTCGTATCGACGATGATGTCATCAAAAACCCAAAAATATTTTTAAAAACGGCACTTTTCAGAGCAACCATAAGTAAAAAGACTATAACAATAAACAAACCATAATGCAACGTATTTTCATTAAACAGCAATGTTGATTGAGTCTAATATCGGGTTGTTGTAATCTAAAACCATGTGAACTGAGTGAGATAAACAACTACCGATGGTGCTCAAAATAATTGCTTTCCTCCTTAGCTTTGTGTGGCAAACCTTGGAAAATCTCGTCTGGTCGAATTTTTTTCACACGAAGCTGGGTAGACATAGTTTTGTACATGAACGCTAATTGGTTGGCTCGCCCAGTGCATTGCACATGGCTGCTGTCTCGCGTACACGAACGCTAATTGGTTGGCTCGCCCAGTGCAGCGCACATGGTTTTAGTTTGTCTTAACAGGCCCAGACAACACCGCAGTTCTGTTGTTTGGAATAGGCATGAAGGGGAATTCCCATACCTTTGTCGTATAAGTAATCTTACAACATTTTCATGTTCTTTAGTTAAATAAAAGATATAAAGTGATGAATTAATACACTAGACACATGGTTTTATTTGAACACTTTATTATGACATCGTAAAGTGAAGAACAAAAACACTAAACAAATGTTTTATTCGTAGGCCTAGAGGCTACGTATAGCCTAGGTAACATCGTTCATTCATACATACGTTTAATGAGCGTTACGTACATATTAGGTCAAAGGTTACCACAAATTTAACATAAACTCTATTTTACAAATCCCCCGATTTACGTACGCCCTCCGGTCCCGTACCTTACGTAAAATCGAGGTTCTACTGTATTATTATTATCACTTTTTAGAGGCTTCTGACTAGAATGCAAGACCATTTGGTTGGCTTTATAGCACAGATGATAAAGCAACTGAATGAAAATAAATGGGTTGGATTTCAATCAATTTTCATATAAACAGAACATGCTTAACTTAAGGGACCTTACGTCATCCATGGATTTGCAAAGTTTCCTACCTTTGACTGCCACATTTGGCTCAAACAATAATTCCACAATGGCTTCTTGCACCACAACCAAAGTGCTATTCGCACTATTGCTCCAGGGGTTCTCTATGTAACAGGTAATGTTAAATGTGCCCTCTGTTTCATAGGTATGCTTACCTGAAAGATAACAGCGTTTATCATACAAGGATTATCCTATCAATGATATTCTTATACTATAATCATATTATGTATTTTTCAATGCCAACGTTTTATCACAATTTTAATCACTGTCTCCTGATGAAGTCCACTGTGTGGACGAAAGTTAGAGAAAATAAATGTATATAGTTAGGCTTTACTCTGCAGAGTTCTGTCATCATTTATAATATTTGAAGAAGACTAACACAGCAACACATTTTGTTCGTATAATGTTTCATGTAATTATATCGCTTTGAAAGACAGTACTTGTATATTCAAAGTGCATACAGTATATTATCATCACTACAATCAGCATATATTAAAATAAGCAAAGCTAATCATTCTCATCACAACTGTAATCATCTCCAGTGAGGTCCTTTTGGTGGCAAAACAGGGTCTGTGGTTGAGACCTAGCAAATTAACAGGTTGCCCATTTAATGATGGTTATTTTGATATAATAATTAATTTGCGCTAGTACTTACTAGTGTAATACGAATCTATTCCTGCAAATATACCATCAAATGGTCCATCAGTACTGCCATCACCCCAATCAAAGGTTATCAACGCACTGCTACCCTTAACAGCAGTGCATTTACATTCCAATTCATGTGCCCTCACATGGGGTGTAGAAGCATCAACGTAAGTAGCTACAAACAAGACAAGTGATAAAAAGAGAACATCCTAGATGATTAAAAAAACTACAAAATTACAAATATTGTATAGATAGAAATGGTTGAAGTATATAATTGATAAGTGGCTACAGCCAAAATGTAAAACTACAGATTAACTTTCACTTTAATGTAATTAAGGAATGAGGTTGGTATTCTGTTTCTCTGAATAGATATGCCTACAAAATGAAATTCCATACTAAACTCAGTCCTTCATTACACGATACAGTATACCGTATACAGACACGCGCACAAAGAAATTTAGCATTGTACAAAACAAATAAAATATCATAAATTACATTCATGTTTTATCTTGTTATGCATTCAGTTGATTTATGTTTATATCTATCATATTATAATAATTGCTGAACCTAATTTGTTTTAATTTGAATATATCTGAATCTGGAAAACAGAATGTGTTGACATTTTGCTTTGAATAAACTTGAAACGCATACTACTCACCTTCAATAACAGTATCTATCTGGACAGGTGTTGTTCCAATAACTGAACTCACATTGTTATAAGCAGTCACAGACACATGGAAAATACCTGGTAATACGTAAATATGTGTAGCAGTACTGCTGTTTGTAAAATTTACACTGTTCCCATCACCAAAATCATAATCATACCAAATCTTATTACCAGAGTCGGTAGTGGTGGTTACCTCAACTGTATGATATACCATGTTGTCTTCACAAGCCACTTGTGTGTTGGTCACACGTTCTTGTAGCTCCACTTTGATCTGATTAGACATCATCCAAGATACAACATTTGATACATTCACATTCACAAAGTAATAGTTTGGCATACTGTACACGTGTGATGTGTCTGGCTGTAGAGTTGTATCATCTGATACTTGGTCACCATAATACCATGCAAACTGGACATCATTGCCCCGAGTCCAGGTGACAGTATAGCCAATACTATCAGTTGTTGCCAGAATTTCTGTTTTGTTTTGCAGGAGGACTCCCTCTACAGGATCCTGTATTATGATGGACTGGGTATCGGTTACCAAAGGATAATTCGCAATTTTACAACTGACGTCATATACACTGTAAGTGGAGAAATTATGATAGATGAACCCGGTATTAAAGACAGTTTCGTTAGTACCATCGCCAAAATCCCACTGAAATTCAAGGCCTTCACCGGAATGCCAAGTAACTTTGCAAAAAATGGGAACAGGAATATCACTAGTACCATAGTCTGGTATATGTATATAATTTGGTTTCTCAGCAGTTACTACAAATGTGTGGTCCAATACACTTGCTATATTATCAGATCGAATAGAAACAGTGTATGTGCTTGGCTTCTCATAGTAATGGCTGTACGTTGTATCTGGCTGCCAGTCTCCAGACCCTTGGCCATCACCATAGTCCCAGATATATTCCACAACATTACCAGAAGTAATCAAGGAACTGAAGTTGAACCAACAACCAGAGAGAACAAGATTCCAATCTTTTGTTGTGTTATCACCAGGATACAAGTTAATACTGCCGTTGAGACCCAAGATCCTATACCTTGCAATTGTAAAAAGAGTCACATACTGCACACTGACGTTGTTATAAGCTTTCACCAGCGTAGTGTAATTGCCAATTTTATCAAAGTGATATGATTGGCTGTCCTGAGTTTTAACATTTGATTTATCAACGACCCCATTGGTCTGATAAGGAGCGTTCACAATAGATGATCCATTAGGAAAAAACCACTGGAATCTGACAAATGTACCTTGAGTTATTTCTACTTTCATTGGGTATTCAACATCAGTGCATGCGTAATAAATACCAAGATTACGAGTGAAGTCTAAGCCCTCAATGCTTAAGATTCGGTACTGAGATGCAACCCTCTGTGATGGTGCTTCAACAACCTTTTTAAGTCTATTAGTAAATTCTACATCTACTCTGAACATTCCTGATGCGGTGAAGCTGTGCTGGATCCAGACTTCTGTCTTCTTTGACATATGAGCTCGTACATAAAATTTGCCATGAGATTTCTGAGATGCATCGGTGTGAAAATCAGCCAGTTCAGGTAACAGTGATTTTTCAAGGAAGAAGAAATGTTCCAATGTGTTTGAAGTATGGGCCACTTCTCCTATGTGTGGATATGCTGCCTTAGGGTAGTAATCAGGGAACTTCTGCTGGTATGGTGTAAAGCCCAAAACATCATGTGGCTTTAAAGATATCCTTGCTACAGCTTGCACAGTAAATATGTTATAACCTTCAGTAAGGTAAACTAGATTTGAGCCAACTAGTTTGTACGGGATGGTGATACCTTGGACAGACTCTGTATATATACAATCACCAAAATGATATGAATAATTGTACTGGATTTGCTGACTTTGCTGATGACAGAAATCATATGTGATATTTTCAGTTGTATTTCCTCTTAAAGTAGTAAAGTTATCAAACATTTGGTTGCTGTAAGTACATGAGTTGTTAAGTGGCCATTCTGATGCTTGAATATGCACTTCGGTAAATGGTTGACATGAACCTTCCTCAATACAGAAAGCAGTCTCATTGCGGCACATGCGTTCTTCAACTGGAGGACAAAGCCAGTAACGATTGATACAAGTGCGATTAAATGTGCAATATTTTTCTCCTGGTGCACAGAGTGGTCGAAAAACCTGAGGTAATGATTGTTGAAAATATTATATTTTAATTTGTAATATATTAATTAATTAAACTTATTTATTCTAATCAATAGTGATATATTGCCACTTTCAGGAGAGTAATAACATATATCTATAACATCTAAAGTTTAAATTTTATCTGACAATACGATTTCAAGAGTATTAATTAGTTGCACTTAATACAACAATAGGGAGGTTTTGCACGCGAACGCGTACGGTTAGTGTGACGGATACGTCATCATTTTGACGTCATAAGCCGGCTCGCAACACGAAACTGAAAAAACGCGTAGGGAAATTTTGGATTTCTAGTAGGATCTTTGTTTATTTTTTCACATTTTACGTAAGTGTAAAAAATAAACGTACTTTGAATACGTATGTGCCATTTTTATGACATTTGAAGATAGCAAATTATGATAGGAATGCTTCTCATTTTGGGGTATCAAAACGTTGGTGCTTTGACTTTGGTGGTGTCGGGATTTTGTGTAGGCCTAGGCCTACTTGTAGCCAGGCACTTTTGGGTCATACAATAGGGCCTATCACAAAATAACCAACACTTCTGAGCAACAAAGGAAGTATTTTTCAGTTACAATATTCAATTTCAATTTTACTAATAAAACTTTGAGAAGCATGATGAGAGAAGAGAACAGAATATAGTATTAGTAGGCCTAAGCTAAGGCCCTAGGCCTAGGCTACAAATGAATTGCGAAAAACACAGAATGGCTACGAACTGTTACAGATAGCTAAACGTATGCGTGCACGTATTCGTTCGCGTGCGAAACCTCCAGGTTGCATTTTCTGCAGAGTATCGGAGATCATACAAGCCAAAAAAGGTCCACTTTCCACTGAAACAAACCTCCCGCAAATTAAGTCACGCTACGGGCCTGAGGGCATTGCAAATTCAGAGGGCATGGGACTAGAGTTTGGCAGTGACTTGGATACCTCATTTAAGAAAAACAGATGACAAAAACAAAATTGTTGCGTCCTTGCGTGCAATAATAAAGGGTGCAAGAACAAAATAAAATTACATTTTTTACCCAAGAATAATACAGTATTTCCTATGATGTGTTAATTAATGTCTATTAGCACCATGAGTTCATAAATGTTTTATAATAAAACTTCAACAATGGGTGCAAAAAGTACAGTACATTTTTTAGCTCATAAATTGGAAAGATAGTATTACTACTATTACTTACTACTAGTCACACCAAAAATGATAGATGGGAAAAGAGATGATAACAGAGAAGGAAAGAAAAAAATGATCACCTAAGAATGGCACCTGAAAGAGAAGATATCATCATAACGAAATATTAGCAACATTTAAGAAATTTTACCTGCAATAGAACCTGGCCTTCTTTGATGGCATAAACCTCCCAAGCCTCCAATGTGCCTTCCTGTTCAACCTCAAGAAACGGCATGATGTAGACTCCATGAATTTCAGATGAAGGCTCGACAGATGTGATGTTTCTCTGCAAAAATTCTCCAATGATAAAGCGATGTGCATCTTTGATTAGAAATTTAAAAGAAATTAATTAGAAATTAATTAGAAAGTTAAAAATCAAATCTAATCTAATTGTAATGCAGCAGTTGATATAGCACCATTTACGATTGGCAGATTGTATAAATCAGAAATGTAGTTTTTAAATTAACTAAAGGTTTTTTACTTTTGAAATATTACCTGCAACATTCATACTTGCTGTATCGGTTTCGTCATTAAAATTCCATGTTGCTTGCAGACTAGTGCCCTGGCCAACACCACTGACACAGGTAAATAGGTGGTCAACTTCCACAAATGGATCACAAATAGTGTTTAGATCTAATTTAAATAAAGAACATTAGTCAAATTTGATGATGGTTGTGTTAAACGTATCATCTCATCCCTGTTTTGAAATTTATTGTATGTTTAGTTGGTCAGGGGGTTTAGAGGATACCCACATCTTGTGATGGGCTCTCAGTCCATGGTGGTATGTGTTCTTGGCACCCTCTGGGTGATTCTGTGCCGAATATGTGATTTTGTGCCGAATATGTAATAAATAAATAAATGATAGTTGCAGTAAGTATGATAATAAAGGCAATAATTACGATAGTGATGTAAAGAGAATCAAATCTATTAAGACTGCATCTAAACTAATCAATAAACCTGAAATAGGTGCCTCCACAAAGACTTCCCTCCTAGCTTCCAGGGGCCCTGAATCTGTGTTCCAAACCCATGCAAATACAAGGTACACTCCGACTTCAACATAAATATGAGGCTGAGGTTCAGGCATGGTTGATGAAACCCCAGTTGTATCTCCATAGTCAAAAGCATAGAATGCGCTGTCTGAGCCATCTCCCAATGAGATCAACACACTGCTTGGTTGAAACACTTCAAGAAAATCTAAAATTTAATGTATACAATTCAATCATTTATCATTTTGAGAAATCATGGAATAACAACATGGATGGTGATATTAAGACTTTAATTATTGGTTATCTCTATAATATAATGAGATAGCAAAATGCATGGAAAAATTACAATAATATGATTCTAACCTGGATCAGTTATAGTGAAGTCTTTTACTGCCGTAGCAGTGGAATAAACACTACCAAAGCCAGGCCCTCCACACATTGACACCTGGTCTCCTGAGCATCTATATATGCAACCTGATTGTGACCCATTGCTATGCTTTCCAAGGCTGTCACCACATACGCATACATAGCCTTCCTGTAAAGCTGCATACTTGAAAGTCATCGACTTGCAGATGGCAGTGCAAAGCAAAGGCTCAGCCTGGTCATAGCTCAGATCTCCACCAGCAACACTGAACTCTCGGTCATTTGGGTTTTCTTTGAAGCAGCCTTCGTAAGAGGAACCTTTATAAAGAGAAATGTTTAAGAGACGAATTGAGACTAGGACTAGACCTATCTGATAATAAATTATTTAGATATGATTCTCACAGTACAATTACGTCATAGAGTTCCATCTAACAACAGACAAATATGAGTCTTCTTTTGCACAATTTACTGCATACATTTTGTAAATATTAGCACACAACAATATAAAAGGCCAAAAAGTGGTTGCGTTACCAAAGTAATGTGACATTTAAAAATTAGTCAGTCTTTCTAATGCCTTGGCCTTACTCACCTAAGTAAGGTAAAGCAGTTAGGAGTGGAAGCACTTTTTTTTTACAAAGGGTAGCAAACGGATGGAATGCTCTTCCTGTCCATGTCATGGAAGGTGAAAGTACCTTACAGTTTCAGAAAAGGTATCAGACGAGTGGGCTACTAAGGGTTGGAAAGGACCCACCAGTTCTTGTTGCCACTAATAAATTGAGTGGTGTTATGGTGAGTAGATGTCTATAGCTTTTGGTGGTTATTATAAGATTCTTGCTGGTGCGGATGCAGGATTTTGCAGTAGGGGATGCGTGAAAGTCCACACTTCTTCAGCCCCACCATGGTTGGGGATGAGGTGCGGACATTTTGAGAATATGGACCTCTAGTTGCCCGGAAATTGTGCTCACATACATTAAAAATGTTACCCGTAATTCATATAAACAATACAACAATTATTTTTCTTAATACATACATATCCGACCAGTTTGTCAAACCCAGTTTGCTGAGTGGTCCATGGCCACTGTGCTGAAACCCAGTTAAAAAAATGCTGAATCAAGCTGAAATCATGAAAACCCTGTTTGCCAAAACCCAGTTTGCCTAATCTTGTCATCACCGTCATACAAAAGTTCAGCATACTATGCTTTTGAAACATGGGTGTGTCAGGGAGGATCTACTGTATATGTATAATATACATTAAAAGGCAAAATACTGGAAAACAACAATGCTGTGGGAAAACACACCTGAAGGTATGGCTATCAGTAAATATCGAAACAAAATGAAATGAAGAATCTTGGACATGTTGGATCCCCTGTCCGCAAATTTCTGGAACCACCACTGGTATGTGTGTATAATTGTAGTTAAAGTTTAAATTTATTTATTCTTTACGTCTAAATATTATTATCTTAATTAAACTTTATATATTTACTATAAATATTCTTATACAACATTTTTACCTGATGGGGCCTAGGTGCAGAGCCTAGGCTTTTTTAGTTTGTTTTTTTTTTGCTGATGATGATAGCCGAATTGTTAATCAAGTTTGACTTACAGTTAAGACAAAAGAATTAGTAATTAACTACAATATAAGCCGCTATTTATTATACGAATAAACAGTGAAAGCATCACATTGAAATGGCTTCTAAATTCTCAATGTTGGAATTCTGGCCGGCCTTTTGCTGTCCAGGTTATAATAATAAATCTGGATACTATATTTAATTTTTCTTTCCCTTTTGTTTCTAGGCCTATTTCCTTCCTTTTTCATTGTGTGTTCCCAAATCTACCATTTCCCTTACTTATATGGGCACACAGAAAAAGTTATTAGATTATCACTCTTTTAAAAAAAAAGAGGGAGGGCTGTTTTTTTTTTATCAAAACAATGGATTATTTGAATTTTATAGTTTTTTTAAAAGAAAATGTTATTTCTATGCTGTTGAAATAATTGATGTGGCAAAAATTTTTTTAAATTCCAGCTACAATATTTCCCGAATATCTCACGCTTGTGGGAGTGATAATCTAATAAATTTTTCTATTTGCCCTTGTCTTATCATTTCTTTCATTTTTCTTTCTTTTGTTTCTTCTCTTTCTTTCATTTTCCCTAAATGTTTCCTTATCTTCCCTTTTCCTGTCCTTTAAGTTTCCATTGTCTTCCTGTCCCTTCTTTGTTTCCTTATCTTTCCTTCCATTTCCTTATCTGTCTTTCATTTTTCATTCTTATTTTTATTGGCCTTAGCCTAGGCCTAGGGCCTAGGCCTAGGCCTGCGCCAGATCAGGCCTGCCAAAATGGTATTTGGCAAACTGGGTTTCAGCAAAGTGGACTCAGCAATCTGCCATTTTCTGGCATTCATGAATCATGATTCAGCAAATTGGGTTTCGACAATCTGGCCTAGGCCTAGCCTAGATCCTTCTAGGAGGGCCTAGAGGCACTACTAGGCCCTAGGCTAGGCCAAGGAGGCCTAGCCTAGGCCTCTAGGCCAAGGGCCTACCTAGGGCTAGGCCTAGCCTGCCCTAAAAATGTGGAAAGCATTATAAAATCCACTTACCAAAGACAGGAAATAACCTAAAAACTATGCATACTAATATTAATATCACCTTCATCTGATTACACGTGATTTACATTGCATATTATCATGATTTATGATCGTTTTCACAATCGTAACAGAGTTTGTAAACTGCATCGTGGTCGTCTGCGTCTAAAGTTTGTATTTGGCGCGATTCACTCAAGCGTGACACACACACAGGTCGGTTTACGCATGCTTGATTGATTTCAATGGTTTTCTTCTTGTTGTTGGTGGATTTTGGTCGTTTTGGCATGGACCTATTGTGGTTTTGGTAAGAAATGTTTACGGTGTGTGCAGCAGTGTTTTATTAAATTATCGTGAATATGATTCTCGAAGAATAAGGCTACTTAAATAGTGACAATACCATTGATTTCTTTGATTGGCTGGGCCAGCAGCACTCTCTTCCTTCCGTCTTCTCGCCTTGCCCGCCTTGCTCTAGCCGGCTCAACCTACCTAGAGACCTGGGCTAGGCGTACCTGCTGTTTATCAGTAATCTTTATCTGTGTAACCCAAGCAGCTTGCAAAAATTATAGGCTTGTTTCTAGCCTAATTAGCACCAAAATACAAACAATTCCATACAAAATGCAAAAAAAAAGAAAGGTAATTTAAGTTCTGACACGGAAGCATTGTGATTGTATAATAATTAATTAACTAAAATAGCCATTTTGTGTAGGTTAGTATTATTCTGTTAATGTTGCATTGTTGCGGCAGTGTCAGTGGTTCATATCCTGGTCATGACATTTTTTAAGCTTAGCTTATTTTATTTTCTAATTTAATTTATCTATTTACTATTACAGAATTAATTATTCTATGAATCATGATGTCAATTATTATTTTTATGCATCACAAATTCTCAATTAATAGTGACGTGTGCATGTCAGCACATTTATATATTGACACAATGGAATACAGCACAGTTCTCAAGTTTTACAGAACGTAACTTCTGTAATTGCTACAGAAATTTTGGCTAATTATGGATGTATTACGGAAATAGACAAAGACACTACAGAAATTTATTATTAGTCCTAGACCGAGAAATATATGGATATACATTGTCTATTACATCAAGGACAATGATTTTTCCATCAGGACCTTTGGCTACATTGTCCCTGGACTTGTCAGATTACCGATAAATTATTGTAAAACCCAAGAAACGTGACCAATAAATCTTCATTCTGTCCAGTTTGAAATTCCATAGCAGCTGTTATACTACTACTTGCAATTTTGAGCACTCAAGGCAAAGTATTAGGTGCTACAGAAATGTTTAATTTACAACGGAATTTTGAAAAGTCACATACTGTACTTACAGAAATACATTTTACTAACTTGAGAATTCTGAATACAGTAGATACATATGTATCATGTGTATATTTAACCCAACAATTAGTACATGTCTGTGTAAATATTTCCCTATTGTTGCATCTGGTTAAACAAGTCTATTTGTAATAGTATTCATCCACCATTTACAGTCATATTAATATCCCCATTTTCTTTCATAATTCAGTTTTCTTTACTTCAGACAGATTGAGAATGATTTATCAGTAGTCTGCTAACTAGAATTCAGCAGAATATAAAATGGTAAGTTAAAACCCCCAGTGCCTCCATATTTTCACTAAATTCATGATAGCTGTGCTACATTGACGTAAAAAATCTGATAGATTATTTTGCCACACACTGTTGGTAAATCAAAAATATATCACTCAATTACAGTTACTGTATATTAAAAGTGTCAGTCTCTTTTGCTAATTAACAATATCTTCTGAGACACATGATTATGATAGAAAATTATTATTTCAAAATATGGCACCGTGTTTTGTTTTTTGTTAAGAGTCATTTTGTACCCAAAGCCAATAGCCTATTACTTTTGGTGCATTTTTAAATCAGGGAGCTGTGATTTTCATTAGTAAGGCCAAATTAAATTATTGTGTTGGCCACACCCGACCAACCCAAATTGTACAAAATTGAGGTTCGGCATTTTATTTTATTTTTTTTTAATGAGCTAAAAAGAATGGAATAGGCCTATCTTGCTGGATGGTGGGTGATGTGACAGTGTTATGCGATCGTTTACTTTCCAATATAGATGTAAGAATGGTCTTTGTTGTATTTTTGTGTATTTTCTACTTTTTAGGCATAAACAAATTATTGATAAAAAAAAAAAATTTCCTACTGACCTACTGTACCCATTTTTTTATTTTCGCAAAATATCGCCAACACAAGAATTTTCTTTTTTGGTCTCTTTCTGGATTTTCTAGTGGTCAA